GAAGTGGAGGAGAATTACTGTCCTTCTCTTTGCTTTCTATTACTACAAATTCTTTCTAAAAGTTCTTTCAGTTTTTCTCTGACATCATTTTTACCCATTTTCTGACCCTGATAGGATGAGGAAGTCTGTTACAATCATATAATTTTCTCTACTAAACTCCCAGCAATCCTCATAAATCTACACACTTCTATTTCATTATTTCCCTTTTACCTTTGCCCAAGAGCTTAGATCTAACCGTTTCATTCTTATTCATAGGTGCTTCTCCAGTGGCTATTTGCAGCACACAAATTGGTACTTTTATCATTGCGCCACATGCCCATTGCAGAGCTTGGGCCTGGAGCAATTTCAGGTTTCTAAGAGTTGTTTTTGAGGGTTAACCAAAAGCTTGGCATCCACAGTCTAAAACTGGTCTTCTCAATGCTCTATACATAATCATCATTACTTTCTTGTCTGCACCCCCTTTGTTTCCAGCTATACTTTTAAGTAAGTTCATCCTACTTTTGTATGCTGTGACCTTTCCAAGCTAATTAAATATCAAACACTACTTCTACAAGCACAGATTTTTTATCTGAATTTTTTCACTATAAAGAAATGTCCTGTTCTTGGCTAACTTTCTTCCTGGTGAAAAGCATTCCCTTTGTAAGTGTGAATTTAAATCCCCAATCACTTTCCTCCTTGGAAATTCTATCAAGTGCCTCATTTCTTTTCCATGACTACATTGTCTTTCATATTTAGTCCATATAGTACAGTCATCTGCCAAAAAAAAAAAAAAAAGAAGGAAATACCTATTGTCATTTGCACACTATGTGGAAGAAGAACAGGAGTACTTGTGGCACCTTAGAGACTAACCAATTTATTTGAGCATGAGCTTTCGTGAGCTACAGCTCACTTCATCGGATGCATACCGTGGAAACTGTTTTGCATCCGATGAAGTGAGCTGTAGTTCACGAAAGCTCATGCTCAAATAAATTGGTTAGTCTCTAAGGTGCCACAAGTACTCCTTTTCTTTTTGCGAATACAGACTAACACGGCTGTTACTCTGAAACTATGTGGAAGGTCATTTATCATAATGGAAAACAACGGAAGGCTGATAATGCTCCCTTGTGGAGTTCCATTGGTAGAGACAATCCCTCTTTTGCAGGCTTCTTCTTTTTCCCCTCAAAAAAACGGGTATGTCACAAGGTAGCCAATCCCTGTGAGTAGAACTGGGCCCAGCTCCCCAGTGTCCGAGCAGGTGCAGCCAATTAAAGGGGGCTGAGCTACACTGGGCCTATAAAGGGCTGCCATAGCCAGGAAATAAGTGGTGGAAAGGAGTGATTGGGAAAGGCAATACCTGAAGAAGGGAAGCCCTTGTGCTAATAACTCCTGCAGTGGGTCCTTGGAGCAAGGGACCAGGTGCTTAGGAATACAGCTCTGGGGCTACTGCTCTTGGAAGGGAGAAGAGCTGAATAGAACTAGGTAGCTTCCAGGAGCTTCTTTGAGAGCCCCAGACACTGCTGGGTGGGGTGACCCTGAAGCCTAAAAGAAAGGAGTGAGTTAAGACTGTTTTCTGTTGCTTTACTCGCCTGCATTAAGAGAATGAACCTTCTCAAAGGAGACAGGGCATGGCAGTGACTGCTTGGAAGCTGCAAAGAAGCCCTGCCCTGGGACAGAGGAATACATAAGTGATTAGCAGAAAGAAGCCAAAGAACTAAAATCACTTCTAGAAGTGCAGTGCCCCTCAACAGGAGGAGAGAGTAACACACCAGAAGAGACCTTCAATGGGTCCTCTTGAGGGCATGCGTTGCACTCCCATCTGCATTCTTTCCAGCCTGTCTACACACTGGGCTTGCAGAAACTCCAGCACAAACACACCTACCCTGCCCTGAAGATCTCACAGCAGAAAGGAGATTACAGACAGAACAGCAATACAAACCATACAAAATAATATCGTAAATACATTTGGCCAGAGGGAGAATTTTTAAGTGTGTTTTTGGTTTCTTATGGCACAGGGGGGGATAACTAATTTCCTTCTCTCTCAAGAGATGTCTATTAACGTGATTCATCTTTCAGGCTCAGGTAGACTGGAAGTGTGACCTCTTGCAAAACTTTGCCACATGTCACCCATCACATAAGAGCAGTCTTAACCTATCTCACACTACTGTCCTGAGGCTTAAATAGCTAATACTTGCAAATGTAAGGTGCTACGTAAGTGCACAGTCATGAAACATTTCCTTGTAAATTAGCACTGAGCTAGAGAATTTGGAAAGTCAGGAAAAGAAAGTCAAAGACAGAGGAAAAGGGTTAAGGTCTAAAGTCAAAGACGAGGAAGGGCACTTAACTGAAGGTCAAAGAGAAGGCCTAAGCCTGAAGTCAAAGAAGGGAGTCATAGTACAGAACTGGCTGAGAGGGGCAGAAGAATCCTCCCAATAGTTGGCGAGGTTCAGGAAGCCTAGCTTGCCCTCCACTAAAGTTTGTTAGCTGTCCAGTATTACCAATGGGAAGATGTGTTGGAAAGCACCTAAAGAGCTAATACGGCAGGTCTTACTGCACTCTGAAGTAGCACAGGCTATCTGCGTCACTTTCAGCAAACCCTGGCTTTGCTTCAAGCCCCAAGTTAGGAACAGCCTGTAGCTGTGCTTTCCTAGGAGCAGACTAGTGACCAGATGTTGACTCAGACACACAATGCATCCGATGAAGTGAGCTGTAGCTCACGAAAGCTCATGCTCAAATAAATTGGTTAGTCTCTAAGGTGCCACTAGTCCTCCTTTTCTTTTTGCGAATACAGACTAACACGGCTGCTACTCTGAAAAGTGTAGACTCTGCTTCCCTCCAGTCCCGCATGAGGAGATAAGATGCTCCAGCCCTATACTGGACTAGGGTGACCACCCATCCCGAATTGGGCTTGACAGGCCTGAAATGCAGATTTCAAATCCCAGTCCCAGACTCAGTGACTCTGGGACAGCATTTGTCCTGGATTCCCAGCAGCACCATTCTGCGCCTGCCCAAGAAGTGCGGTGGTGCCAGCCGCTTCCCGCTTCGGGGGCTGAGGAGGGCAGGGACATAGGCCGGGGGCTCCTCTTGGGCACCCAGGGCAGCTGGAGGGTCCAGGGCTTCCCAGGCTCCCTGGGAAACTCTTACCACAGCCCTGCTCCAGCTTCTGGACTGGCCAGGGGCTGGGGCCTTGGGAGAAGAGGAGGGGCAGGGCCACAGAGAGGTGGGGCTCCTGCATCTGTTCCGCTTTTGCCTATTGAAAAGGTGGTCACCCTAGATTACTCCCTCACTGCACAAGCTCCACCAATTTCCCACTGCCAAGCGGTGGCAGGAGCAGCCGCATAGAGGCAACTTTGCCTCTGCACCTGCAATGCAGGTAGTCCACACAGGAGAGTAATGGGATTCCTTGTGCCGCCCTAGCTTTCCTGTGAAACAGCACAGCCAGGGTGACATTCTTTCCCTTACAAAGTCACTGGTTGCAGCTATGCTCCCTGCTCCTGCCTACAGCACCCTGTAATATGTTTTGCAAATTCCAGCCAGACTGCATTGATTTGGGTTATTGAAATCAAACATCTGTCTTTACGTCAAAAAGATAAAGGTCCCTCCCTCCCCTCTCTATGAACGTTCCACAGTTAACAAGTTTTGGACTGAAGTCTGGGAGTTAGCTCTCAGCTATCAAGTTCCTAGAGGCTGTCTGATATTCCTCTGTCATCATAAATAGTAATTATAAAAGCAAAGCCCTTACCTATTGATACAGACAGACATTTAAAAAAAAAACCATGATAGACATTTTTATGCCATTTCTCTAGCCAGATGAGCATTAAGAGATGAAGGGCTGCCTGCCACTCTGAAAATCATTGGATTTGCTTTATTGGATCAGATGACAGTAAATTGAGAGTAGAAATGGCTGGAAAAATATTGACAGAACCACTTTTTGTCAGAGAATGCAGGTCCATGGAAGTTGAAACACTTTGTAAAATCATATTGATCTCACTGAAATTTCATTTCACTGAAAAAATGGGTTTTGTTTTCAGTTGGAACAAAGATAAATGATGAAATCTCAAAATTCTCAGTGAACAGGAATTTCTGCTTCTATGTGGCTCTAATTGAGAGCAGTAGACTGCCTCTGGCAGGGGCCAGTTGATAACACCTCTGAAAACTCCTGGTGCACCTAGTCAGTTGTGGAATACAATGTAATATGCAGTCAGTTCTTCCCTGACCAGCTTTGCCCCCCTTCCCCGAAGCTTGGCAATCTGATCACTGTTATGTCTGCTTGTATAACCATAGATATCACTGGTCCTAAAACTAGTCAATACTACTCCTATCTGATGGCAGTGAATTCAATAGTCTGACTTCATGCTGAGAGTATTGCTTTTATTTGCCTTCCTCCCACAGCCCAGGAGCCAAGTTAATGTTCATTTGTTTTTGTTTTTTTTAATCAAATGTTTGTCTATTGCCCAAAATTATTTCCCGATTTAGATTTGGATTTAAAACCAGCATGGTTAAAAGGTTTATTGGAAGAGGGCAGGACAGAAAAAAATAGCTGTCTACTGTGGTAGCACAAGCCCTATCATTAAACAGGGGAAAGGAGAAACAAGGTGATCACTGGTGCTGTGGCTCTGCAATCTGTATTCTGCTGAAGATGAATTTATCTCTGCAGGGAGAGAATAGAGAGAGTAAGCAGCTGGGAGAGGATTGTTGAAACAAACCAGGAGCTGGTTGTCCCTGTAGCAGATCTAAGGAGGGAGCTACCCTCTGATTGGCTTACTCTGAGCAAGCTGGCCCTTTCACAAGGTGCTGTTTGAGTGTGTAAGTGAAAGGCTCTCAGTGTTGAACTTCTTTTTTTGGGGGGGGGGGGGGGGTGGGGAGGGGTTAAACATTTATGTTAATTGTGTACCAGGCAGAATGAAGCCTGAGTAATTTACTCTCACACTTACACACGATGTAACATCTTTTATTTCTCATTTTTTCATGTCCTATGTCTGTAAATTTCAAGGCTGCCTGTCACATGACAGTGGTAGAGAATCAGAAAAAGAGTTCTTCTAGCATCAAAGAAGGAACTTTATTAGAATAACAGAAAACAGTTATCCTTAAAAATATTCTGCCATGGTGGAGAGCTTCTGCCCACATCCTTCCCCTAGGGCCACCCTACCGGGCTTCCACCAAATATTTTAAGAAACAGTACACATGTACAGATCCTCACAGACCCTTTACCTATGCCCATTACCAATAACGGGGACTGCAAAGGGGGAGCTGAATAGTCAGCATGGTGTTTCTTCATTAAGGTCCTGGGGTCTTTCAAGTATCATGTATCCATTTGCTGTGCATCTGTTTTTATTGCTTCTGTAAAGAGAAGAGAGGTCGGTACCAAGGGAAGGGGATGAGCTGAAGAAATGTAAAAATTAACAAAATGGTATTGAAGGAAGCAAGGGAGAAATATAAGAGTAAAGGAACACATAAAACGAGAAATGAAGGAAAGAAAAATAGCTGAGGGCAAGTATGGGCAATACTGTGTTAATAAAGCCATTATACCCTCTCCCCTAGAGATTCTTCATAGAGCTCTTTAAGAAATACTGTGAAGTTAGAAATCTCAGTTGAGGAGTTAAACACAGATCTGGGTTTCAAGTCACACCTGCCCCTGCCCCAGCCTATTTTTCTGGTTTCACAATACACAGGAAAATGTTATCCCCCCCCTTTGTTGCTGTATAAAAGATTTAAACAAACAATAAAGGAAAGTGACTGACCATAAGGGGAAATGGAGAACTTGATCATATATAAAACGCTATCAAACGCACAATGTAAACTGGAAAAAAGAAATATGTTTCCTCTGTTGCTTTGGTAATAATCTTAATGTCACTTTCAACAACAGTAGGTAATACGTTTTCAGAAAGAAGTGTTCTTTTTTTTTTTTTAAGGGACTGTGGGCTAGATTCACAAAAGGGCTTAAATGCCTCAAGTGGCAGTTAGGCACCTACGTCCCATAATTAGGCCCCAATGGGATTTACAAAATCCCTGCTCAGTAATACTGTAGGTGCCTAAACTCACTCAGCAACTCTTTTTTGCAGTAAAAATTCCCTAGAAGCCTAGGATTCTGCCTGTGCACATACACACTGCAGCCCCATGCCAGGAGTCTGTACACACAAACCCAGGCAATTCACAAATGGGGGGGAAGATAGATGTTCCTTCACCTAACTCTCCTGCACAGCCCAATCTGACAAGCATGCTCAGAATTCACCTACTAGATCAGACTGCCATAGGTCCAGCCACCACCTCTCAGATGAGTACCCTTATCACTAGGTTAGAGAATATTCTCATGTGGGGTCCCTCAGTCTCTCCTGTTGAAAGTGTTCCACTGTAGATAAATAACGAAAGAGTCATTGGGCCAGAGAGACCAAGTGCAATCATGAGGATGACTCTATAGCCAGCTGGTGAGAAACATCCAGTGCCCTGGCTCCAATACAAAAAACAGCAAGGATAGGCGCCTAACCCTAAGAGAAGGTTTGCAGCTGAGAACCCCAAGCAAGAGAGAGGCACCTCCCTGCAGTTTTGATGTAGGCACCCAGCTACCTGAGGGGCGCGGGGGCTTAGGACACACCTCTTGCTTTGGCTAGCTTAGGTGAGGAGCTGCCTAGAATGCTGGCTTTTCTGGATCCCATTCTGAGGTACCCCTCTCTCCCCACTTGTTCACAAGGGGCCTAGGCACCTAATCAAACTTTGTGAATCCCAGTGGTTTTCTTCCTTCTAGGCGCCTAGAAGTTAGGTGTGGCAACACTCACCAAGTCAGAGTTCCTTGGGGAATCTAGCCCTGTGTCCCTTTAAAAACCGAGCACCTGTGTTTTTCTGCAAATGAGAAAAGGGGAGATGGGAAGCAGACCTGTGGAAATTGGATAGGGGGCAGCCGGTATTATTTGTTTTGTCTCCCATGGGTAGAAACTCTCTTATTGGCCGTTTGAGGATGGGGCTTGACTTCAGCAGTGTCATCATCAGCAAAAGATGTTAATTGGGACGGGTCAGATTTCCAAAGCTATTTAAACACCTATAGATGCAGGTAGGCACCTAAGGGGATTTTCTGAAGTGCCTAAGCAGGTTAGGTGCCAAACTCCTATGGAAGCCAATAGGAGTCAGGCGCCTGACTCCTAAGGCATCTCAATCTTTAGGCACTCAGTACCTCTGAAAATCTGGCCCAAAATTCCCCCCTGGGCAAGATGTATGGCTCCAATCCTGAACTGTAATGTGTGAGTGGAGTGCTGAACTTGCACAGAGTCTCACTGAAATAATTGGGGCTCTGTGGAGAACTGCCTGAATGCTACATAATATAGGACGAGAGCCTATACATTCGTGCTTATGAGACAAACGTATGTATTTGTTCCACATTAAAAAGATAACTCAGGTATGCATTCTTGCAACATCTTGTTATCAAAATTAATTAAAGCTTAACAAAAAATAGCTATACAGCTGCTGTGTCAGCACCCGCCAGATTTCTTCATTAGAAAGTTTGTGGTTATCTGCTCTACTCACTTTTTTCAAAAGTTTGCACACCAACAGTAACTCCAGCTTCTCATTAATTTCTTCTGAACCCCTCTTGGAGTGAATACAAATGATCGATAGCAGACTCTGAAATCTACTGATCAAATCAGCCTCTATAAACAGAAATAGAAAGTAATAGCAGAAGCTCATAATTATTTTTCTCTCTCGCACACAGCCCTTTACAGCACCGCATTTAACAGCATGGAAGCCTGTGCACATGAAAAATAGAACAATTTTTATTTCTAAAAATATTCCCGGTTAAGTATCTCTCGCACAAAATGAAATCACAGTGGAAAACTAGATCAAACAAAGTGGGCAGGTGATAGTCCAGTAGCACAGGATAGTGCTGCAGTAGTTTAGGGGCTTTTACTGGTTTTCATTATAACCTCAGATTTCAGAGGTCATAAGTGAGCCACTGTAGGTTGTATTGGGACGAAACTATAATTTACAAGTTTTCAGGCCATTTCTGGTTTCGCAAAGCAATTTTTAAAGTACTTATGAGAAGAAATAGATTAAAAAAAGCAAAAACCTGGTTGCGGATATTCATTCTTTTTTCTAGGTACCACCTAAAAACAGATTTTTAAAAATTCTAGACAGTGAGTTCTTCGTGAAGACTGGTACACTTCTGTTTTTGTTTTCTTTTTCCTATATTTTTCCTTGGAAACACTGGAGAATATTTCCAGTTGGAAGAAAAAATAGTTACCAAGCAGATGCACTAGCTATTTTCAGAATGCCATTTCCCCGCCACCCCCTCCCCCATCAGCTGTACTGTTGATTATCGCTGCCTAATATTTTCACCCACACATTTAGAAAGCCATAATTTTTAGACTACAATATTCAGGACAGTTGACATCCCATTGTAGTGAGGCTCAGCATTCCGATTACCAGCCTGGTCGCAATTGCCCCTTGAGTTAGAGATTGTAAATCACACATCAAAACATGTGAACATATCAATTAACATTCTGTTGGAAGGAAATCAAGGACAAACATACACTGTGACATTTTTCAATTTTTATTTTAAATAGATATGGAGGTTAAAAACCAGCAATATTTGGCCCTAACTTTTATTTGCCCAATCTCTCTCTCTCTCTCTCTATTATAGCACTATGCTACTGCAATATTGATATGCAAATTCCCATTGATTTTTTTTCCCAATGGAGCTTTATTACAAAGAGAAATACTTGGCACTTCAAAACTCTGTGAACATAAATTGGTTAATCCTCACAGCCTCCCCTTTGTTTTTCTTTCCTGGAATCATGTGCTCTCTCTCCTGCCCCATGTACTCTCTCAAGGTTACCCTCTTCCTAGCTTCCCCTTTTCCTCAGGCTTTCCCCCACCTTCCTTCCAAAAACTTTCCCTTGATCCTCTTCCCTTCCTAACCTTAAAGATGGGACCATGGGAGCTTTGTAGGCAGATGCAGGGTGAGATTCAGGTTCAAGCAAGGAAAGCACAGCTAAAAGCAGAGGAGTAGCTCCCCCTATTCTCCCTGACTCCAGGAGGGAGCAGCACCTAGCAGAGGTATCCTCTGTGAACTGCCTGCAACAACAGGATCTCTGCCTCTTAAGACCAGATCCTGAAAGATATTGAGGCATTTAGCTCCCATTCAACTCAATGAGAGCTAGGTGCCTAAATACCTCTGAAGATCTCGGCCTGAGGTTCTGTGAAGCATACCAGCCCATCGAGCAGATGCTGATAGATACATCAGTGCAAACCACTTCCCTGAGAAAGAATGCAAACAAATGACTCTTAAGTTTAGAGGAAAACTGCCAGATCAAATTTACTCCATTTAAAAAGAAGATGTATTAAGAATCTCTTTATTTTTGTACATTTAATTGTTATGCTTTGAACTTTTAATTATTTTTTGGCTAAGAGTCTTAACCTAATGTTCTGATGACACTTTTAAATACCAGCCTGGGGTGTGCATATGCATTTGAGGTGAAATTCACCCCTCTGCCGAACACCAGCACAATGACTATACATCACTTACATTAAGCAATGTATAGGCCAAGTGTGGATCTCTGCACCAGGGTGAAGTTCACTCATGGAGCATGGTCCATGGGAATGGTCCAGGCCGTGCTGTACGTTTCCTGCAGTAGGACCAATGGAGCTTGTTCCAGAGGAAAACATGTAGAATAAGGAAACTTTAATACCTGAAACTATCCTGTGTGACAGGGTCGGGCCAGATGGCTACAGGAGAGTGAAAGAAGGCAGATATATTAGCCCCAGGTTAAGTAGGTCCCTTTTCCCTGGGTAAGGTAACAGGGAAGGTTTCAGAACAATCAGAAACTTTCTGGAAACAATTAAGGCAGAGAGGCTGATTAGAACACCTGCAGCCAATCAACAAGCTGCTAGAATCAATTAAGGCAGGCTAATCAGGGCACCTGGGTTTAAAAAGGAGCTCACTTCAGTTTGTGGTGAGTGCGAGGAGCTGGGAGCAAGAGGCGCAAGAAGCTGAGAGTGAGAAGGCATACTACTGGAAGCCTGAGAAGTACAAGCATTATCAGACATCAGGAGGAAGGTCCTGTGGTGAGAATAAAGAAGGTGTTTGGCGGAGGCCATGGGGAAGTAGCCCAGGGAGTTGTAGCTGTCATGCAGCTGTTACAGGAGCGACTGTAGACAGCTGCAATCCACAGGGCCTTGGGCTGGAACCCAGAGTAGAGGGCGGGCCCAGGTTCCCCCCATCCCTCCATCCCCCCCAACTGCCTACTTGATACTGGAGGAGTTGAACTGGACTGTGGGTTCCACCAGAGGGGAAGGTCTCTGGCCTGTTCCCCAATCTACTAGGTGGATCAGCAGAGACTGTGGGGATTGTTCTTCTTCCTTTCCCCATGCTGGCCAGTGATGAGGCTAACTGAGTGAATGGCAGATTTGAGCCACGAAAGTGGCCAAACTGAGGGCTGCCGTGAACCTCTGAAGCGAGAAAATCCACCAATAAGCGCAGGACCCACCAAGGCAGAGGAGGAACTTTGTCACACCTCCCTTTGGAGCCTTGAGAAAGAGGCATATGGAACTGTGTGGAAGGAGAATGAAAACTCTAAGGAAGATTTCCTATCACTTCTGTGGAGGGAACCAGTACATCTCATATTGCCATAATTTCTTTTTGGTGTCTGTGTACCACAGCTCTCTGGACAGCATAAGAGGCCTACTCAAGTGCGTGTGTGTATATATATATATAAAACAAGTGTGTATAAATCAAGAATTGTGCTGGCTGTGTGTAGTTACTGTACCTACCAGGTCTGAAACAGTACTGGTCACAAGTTTTTCAACAACAAGTTGTTCTCCTTGAAATCAAAATGTTCCACAGGCAAATGTCAACTTTGATTAATTTTTTTTAAATTTCTTTTTCAGAAGCAAATTTAGAAATGTCAATTTGAAAGTAAATGTCTTGTTTCAAATTGACATTTCATATCAAAAGGTTATATTTTGATTGGAAATGTTGAAATTTTTCATTTCCGTGTTGTCCAATTAGTATTTTATGGAGCTTTTTGTTCTGCAAAAAATCTCAGCATTTTCACCTTTTGTACTGATTCAGGTTGAAAACAAATCTCAGAACATGACTATTTCTTGTGGGATGGAAGTGCCAGACAGCTCTGGTCTGAAATATTCTACCTGTCAGAGTTTGGAAGACTTCTCAGTTAGCAGCATCTGGAGTTTGGTTGGAGAACAGACCTTGAGATGGAGTGAAATGGTTGCAGATTATAGAAGGATTTACTGTGTTAGCTTGATTCATTTTGCTGTTTATCTTTTGCGCTTAAAGTCAGCGTAGCTGATTTTAAAAGATGTATTTGGATTCTGGGACACGCAACCATTTGGTAACTTTTGATGACCAGCTCACAGAGAGCATAGTTCCTACTACTTCTACAATTAACAGATTATTTCATAACTGATACAAGCCTGTGTTTGTGGAACTTAAGTTCTTGGGTTTGTAGCCTTGCTGGAACCACAAAGTCCTGTGTGTCTGTAGAATCACTTCAGTGTGTATGTTGAGAGAACCAGTGAGGCTACAGAGTGATAGCTTTTTATGGCCATGAGTTCAAGGTGGCTGTTTCTCATGAAGGAGTTAGGCACATTGTGTGAAACAAATTGAAATAACTGCTAAATTAAAGGAATCTAAAGCCCAACTCCCACTGAATTAGTTGGGTGCATAACTCCCTTGGGCACTTCTGAAAATCCCAATAAAAAATTTCATAGCCCTCTACATCATCACATGTTGCATTTTGATTATCTTGCATGTTAAATTATTTTTGTATGTCATTTTTTGGTGTGCATATCTTCATTCCCCTTTACACATATTTCAGTTGCTTCCCCAATTTCTTTTAAGTATGTTAGTTACTATGGAAACAACACTGGAGTTGGGAGTGGCAATAATTAGTGATGTCTGCAAGTGCAGGGTAAAGTCAATGTATATAATTAGGCCCCGAAGCCACAGTGGGCTTTGTGTAGCTGGCGTCCCAGGGTCTGACTGGGCACAATTTATTCCAAGATGGGGGCCTTAGCATTCTATATCATGATTTTTGAAATAGTTGTGGGGGGGATTAATTAATGTGAATGAATGACATTATTAGAGGGTTGAGTGGGGTGTGAATCAGGCCAGGGGTTGGACTTGATATGTATTATGGGTGCACATTAAGGATGTGCTGTACACTTGCAGCAAGCATAAAAAATTGTCTTCCTACTGCACTGTCAGCTTGAAATGTGACTTTTAAATTCCTTCCTTCATTTTAATGATAGATATCAGGGCTGGTCAGAGACACACATTTATCTGCAGCTGTTTTTATCTTTGATTCTTTAATTGGCAATTTTTAAGATTACCAAGAAGCTTTTAAAATAAAGATTTTAAATAAAACTCAAAAAGGCTGAGAGAGCCTGCTTGCCATGGGCTTCCTCAGAGAAGGAACGTTTATTATCTCTTAAATGTATTTTGTTTGTTTTGTCTTATTGGTCCCTTTGCTGCTCCTCCCCCTACCAGGCCTTGTCTATGCACAGAAGTTATACCCCTTTAACTTAAATTAGTATTCAAATTAGTGCAAAATCCTGTGTGAGCACTCTTATTTCAGATTATTATTTTGGTTTAGCTTAATCCATTTATATACCAGGTTAGGCTAAACGGAAA